ATAATATAATATAATATAATATAATATAATATAATATAATATAATATAATATAATATAATATAATATAATATAATATAAATGTAATAAAAATATATAAATATGTGTATGTAAATGTATAGTCAGTCAAAAAAGTCTCGGTACACCTGTCGAAACGGAATGACATTTTTAAAACTATAAAAAAATAAATTACTTTACTTTTTTTAGATTGCAGACGGACTAGTATACTAGATAACATGACTGAAATGCTTTATTTTCTTAATTTTGTTATTACTCGGACTGACAAAAGAATTTAACAATATTTCATGACATTTTAAATAAATATTCTGAATAAATATTTTAACAATAACTTAAATACAATAACATTCTTGAATAAATATCTTAAATATTTAATTACATACACATATTTATATATTTTTATTACATTTATATTATATTATANCAATAACATACACTAATCGTTAATAACGAAAATTTTCATAACTGTTGCGTTCTATTCTCTTCTCGCTACCGAAACTAATTCACTAAATTCCAAAATTCATTGTTCCTTTTATAAAAAAAAAAGAAAAAAAAGAAAAGAAAAAATGTTCTATCACGCGCGACTTCTAAAAAGAAGAATAACATTCGGGTACCGTGGGCTGCTCGACGGCTTCCACGAACGACTGTACAAAGTTACCGTGGCTCCGGACCCGGAGCGGTGCAATCGTAACAGCTCAAAGGGCTGAAAGTGGCCCTGAAATACTTCGGCCAGGTGGAAAAGCAATTTCGTCGGCTTACCTGGACCATTAACGAGATCGCGACCAGGCCCTGACTCTTGTGCTGCGCCTCGCTCATGTTGTGATACAATTCCGCGTTGAAGCCGTACACTTGTATCTGCAACAGAACATCAGACACGGCCTGGAATTATTTCTACGTGTAATCGCGTCGCCCGTCATGCTCGTATTTCCCGCCCGCGTAATTACGCCGACAAATTTCGTCTTCGCACGAACGAATTCCGGCTACCGGCGGGGGCGGTTTGGCAACGCGGGCGGAGAGGGGGGAGGGGGAGGGAAGGGCGCCGAGGGGGTTCGTCGGGAGCGGCCGCTTTGTGCCCGACGATATATAATACCCGGCGGATCGTCTTCCCGAAATTGTGCTCCCCCGCCGGCACCGTTTCGTGCGTGTTGCCGCTTTCGAATGAATTAATCGTCGACAGATTTGAAAGGGGCCCGAGCTCAATGGCCGCGATGATCCCGTAGATCATGCCAGTTAATTCTTGAACCGTGGGCACGCTCGCAGACAGCGATTCTCTCAGGCTGCAACGTCCAATTCCACCGAACTGCGATCCCGGCCGAATTTTAAGAAATTATCTTGCCTCGCCAGTTTTCGCCACAAAATGATCTCCAGCATTTTCGAATCTTTTCTAACGCGAATTTGGCACTCATGGTTTTCGAAAAAATCGACCCCGATCGCTGGTCTCTCAGGCTGCAACGTCCAATTCCACCGAACTGCGATCTCGGCCGAATTTTAAGAAATTATCTTGCCTCGCCAGTTTTCACCACAAAATGATTTCCAGCATTTTCGAATCGTACAGACGTTTCCCGTAGACTCGGACGTCTCCCTTAAGAATCTAGGTCTTTTCTAACGCGAATTTGACACGCATGGTTTTCGAAAAAATCGACCCCGATCGCTGGTCTCTCAGGCTGCAACGTCTAATTCCACCGAACTGCGATCCCGGTCGAATTTTAAGAAATTATTTTGCCTCGCCTGTTTTCACCACAAAATGATTTCCAGCATTTTCGAATCTTTTCCAACGCGAATTTGGCACTCATGGTTTTCCAAAAAAATCGACCCCGATCGCTGGTCTCTCAGGCTGCAACGCCCAATTCCACCGAACTGCGATCTCGGCCGAATTTTAAGAAGTTATTTTGCCTCGCGAGCAACGCCTGTTTTCGTCACAAAATGATTTCCAGCATTTTCGAATCGTACAGACGTTTCCCGTAGACTCGGACGTCTCCCTTAAGAATCTAGGTCTTTTCTAACGCGAATTTGACACGCATGGTTTTCGAAAAAATCGACCGCGACCGCTGGTCGTCGAGTTTGAGGAAGTTTGGGGAAGTTTGAAGGGCTCGCGCGCTTCAGCGGTTATAGTTAAGTGGTTCTAATTTGCGCAGTATTATTCTGTAGACTCTTCCGAGTAGAATGGTATAGTATAATGTCGTGTGATCGGCGTGGAAGTATGTTTAAATAATCGTTGAAGCCGGAGCGATATTTTTTGATCCGAGAACGCGCACCGCTTTCGGCTTCGATTTTTAATGCTTCGAATCTTTGCAAAGTCCGTGGAACTGAAACATGATCGGCATGAAAAAGTCAGCGCGTTGTACCGTTAATTCGACGAGGAAACAAAAATCGTCCGCGCGTTTGACGAACGAGGCGAACAAACTCGGTTGGAACATCGATTTTAATCGAAGTTCGAGCAGCCGAATGAAAGTCCGCGTGCGCATGTATTGTATATTAATTCGTGGCATCGCGATCGGCTCATTGTGCCCCACGTCGATAATAATGAAAATTCCTCTCGAGGACATTCCGCCGATCGTCATTTTTTTCTGCGATATACCGCGATCCTTTATTAAGAACTTTATTTCGATAAAACGAAGACGGTAACCTTCGCTTGGTTCGCGTCTCGCTGTTACGTAGAATCGATAAGGATTCTTTCATGCATTCTTGAAACAGTATTTTTTCCTCGTAAAACGAAAAACCGACGCTTTGTTGTTCTTTCCTTCGTAGAATTTTCTTGCGCGAGCTAGCGTAAAGAATGCTCGCGTCTGAAATCTGGTCGAACGAACGGAGGAAATTTCACGAGAGATTTCGGATTAGCCGACGATCATCTCGAAAATATTATCATGATCGTTATTTATTCATTATTTGTTTATTCAACACATCCTAATTTGTAATTTAACATATTCTTAATTTACTGTATCGTAATATGTTTATTACAACGTGTAATTTCTAATTTACCATATTCTAATATATTTATTCTTTATATATTCTAATTATTTATTATTTATTTATTTATTATTTAATGTAATATAATCGAATAAATAAATATGGATCTTTTACGTAAACGTGTTATTAAAATTATTGATATAATTGTAAAACTATCGTTCTTCATTTAATATATTCCGAAATGCATTTTTCATTTCTTTTTACTCAGCTGAAATTTTCATTTAGATTCGAGGAGAAATCGATGGAAAGCTTTTTCGGTTTTTGCTACACAAATATCTTGATACAATTTTCAATAGTAACAATAAATCTGTGGATTCATAAAAATTGAAGTAAGGAGAATATTATTTTTTCCTAACTGGAGTCGAAGCAAATATTATTTACCCTAACTGGAGTCGAAGAAGATTATTGTTTTCCATATCAGTATTTAGATAAGATTTTTTTATTAAATACGGATATCAAGATTTGATTAAATCGCTTCAAACGCTTCTCTACAGAGTTTTAAGCGAATGGTCGAAAATCGACGAACCAGCGATAATTGAAGCGTCTTGTTTCAAGCCGAAGTCAAAGATCCCGGCGACCATGCACGAATTTCACGGAACTTATCGTCGCATTCACGTTTCCCTAAATCCTTTCGATTCGCCTATATCCCCTTCGAAAGCAGCCGGCCGCATTCGTCGTCATAAATTCCAACTAGCCTCTGTATATCCTCGCGTCTTCAAAGCGAAGCAATTCGTCTTTCGTTCTTATTTCGCGTTTCGCCGGGCCGCGCGGCCCGGTAACTCAGGTAGTACTCGGTTAGAATTTTTAAATAAGCTGCCAACCGTCGAGGCTGTGCGGCGAAACAAACCTTCCTTCGGAAAAAGAGTCATAAAGAACACCCGGAACGACGAAACAAAGAAGTGCAGGCGAAATTCAAACAAAAATTTCAAAGATAATTTGAAACGAAGTGTGTTTGAAGGATGATCTGGAACGAAAATTGAAAGGACGATTTGGAACAAATATTTGAATTGATCATTTGGAACCAAAATTGAAAAGATGATTTGGAACAAAAATTGACAAGATAATTTGGAACAGAAATTGGAGGGATAGTTTGGAATAGAAATTGGAAGGATGATGTGGAACAGAAATTGAAAGGATATAATTTGGAACCAAAATTGAAAAGATGATTTAGAACAAGAATTGAAAATATAAATTAGAACAGAAATTGAAAGGAATATTTTGAACAAAAATTGAAAATAGAAATTGGAATAGAAATTGAACGGATAATTTGGAACCAAAATTGAAAAGATGATTTAGAACATGAATTGAAAAGCTAATTTCGAACAGAAATTGAAAGGAATATTTCGAAGAAAAATTGAAAAGATAATTTCGAACAAAAATTGAAAGGATGATTTCGAACAAAAATTGGAAAGATAACTTAGAACAATACTGGAAAAGATAATTTAGAACAAAAATTGAAAATATAGATTACAACATAAATTGAAAGGATGATTTCGAGCCAAAATTCAAAAGATGATTCAGAACAAGAATTGAAAAGCTAATTTGGAACAAGAATTGAAAAGATATAATAATTTCGAACAAAAATTGAAAAGATAATTTAGAACAAAAATTGAAAAGCTAACTTGGAACAAGAATAAAGAAGCTAATTTGAAACAAAAATTGGAAAGATTATTTGGAACGAAAATTGAAGCGATAATTTAAAAGAACCGCAGAATTGGAACCTGACTGTCCTAGACAGTGCTACGTAATTCCCTTTCTCGGTCGCAGCCCGGTCTACTGTAAACAAAATTTCGAACCGAAAGCCGCAGAAACGCAAAAGCAACTTATAACGCAGCTTGCCTAGGTTTCTCTCTTTCGACCGGTAATGGCATTGCCACGGCACTTCCGCCAATGCTTCGGGCTTGTTGAAATGCCTACGACGAGTCGCGGTTCAAAGACGTCGCGAGGAGGAGCGGCTGTAGCAACGCGACGTCGAACAGGTGCGACGAAGAAGGCGGGACGGATGGTGGCCAGACCCGTCGTAGACGGAAAGAGAGAAAGAGAGAGAGAGGGAGAGGGAGAGAAAGAGAGAGTGGCAGGGCAGATTGCCGAGGATGAGCGTAAATCCACTGCGCCTGATCAAAGTAGGACCTCGACGTTGCTCGGAAGATTCGCCGCATCCTACACGGGCTGCTCCTCCACCCATTTTCACCTCTAACCCTTCACGTCGATGTCGAGGATTCCCGGCTGCCTTCAACCCCCACGGAATTATCCTTCCGTTTTTCGAAACGCCGACTTCTGCCGGCCACTGTCAGCCTGGTCGCAAGATGGATGGAAAATTAAGTGCATGCTAAGGCCTGCGGTGGTTGCAACCCTTCTGTTCAGGGTTAGAACTTGCTACCTTGCATATTCTGTTTGAAATTGCGCCATTTTAGTAACGGGAAATCGCGATCCCTTGTTTTCTCGGACAGATTTTATTTATCCGCTTAAAGCGAATCTGATTGCTTTTCATCGGGGTGTTCGACAACCCTTATCTGTCATTTCCGTCATCATATTTTGGTCTGCTTCTGGAAAGGCAGCGTGTCGTTCGTTTTATTATTATTATTGTTACTTTTGTTGCTGTCGCATCGAATTATCGCTGGTCATCATTTTAGGGTTGCTTTGTACCATTTTAGTTTTTCTGGAACTTCTGGAATATTATTATATATATTATATTATTATATTATTATATTATTATAATATTATATTATTATATTATTATATTATTATATTATTATATTGCTATATTATTATATTATTATATTGTCATATTGTTATATTGTTATATTGTTATATTGTTATATTGTTATATTATTATATTATTATTATATATATATATATATATTAGAAGAAATAGAAATATCCAAATA